CTTCTCCCTGTGATGTGGTCAGACGCAGCTGGGGCCAGGTGGTGCCCTGCAGAGTGCTGGCGGCGGGGGTGGGGCAGCACAGGCACAGGGTGGCGAGGGAGATGGCCCCACTGTGCCAGCTGTGCAGGAGACAAACAGGATGCTGCGGCCCCCACCCCAGCCACCTGTCTCAGCAGGGCCTGATCCTTGTGTGTGGGGAGAAGTGAGTGGTGGTCATGTGCGTGCTGAAAGGGTCACTCTGCCCGCCAAGGGGACTTGGCCTGGAGTGGGGGTTGGCAGCAGGGTCACATGATGCTCGTAGAAGCATGGAGTTTGGCGCAGGTGCTGTCTCACCACGCTGGCTGCCCTATCGCCTCGGCTGTGTTGATGTGGCCTAATCCCAGGACGGGCTGGGCATGTGAGGCCAGCTGCGAATGAGACAGTCTGCCTGCACTAGCGCCTCAGAGCCTCTGGGGTCCCAGGGACACAGCCACACGCTCCGAGAGCACAAGGCAGGGGAAGCTGCACTCTGCACGGATGCGGGGAGATGGTGCGTAGAATGACATGTAGAATTCTGGTAATGGTCTCAGAAGACAGCAGCGTGGTGAGGTCGACATTCTGCAGGGCAGCAGCTGCAGGCCGCGTCGCCAGCACAGGGTTTAGAACAGTGGCCTGACTCTGGCAGCTCTGCAGCCTGTGGACACCTTCCTGCTTGAGGCACAGCCTTCGTGTCTGCCCTGTGTGCCAGAGGGAGGTCACGCTTGGGCCCTTACCACTGTGGCACTGCCTATGCCACTCTTGAAAGAGGCAGAGAGCCCAACGTTCAGCTGGCCGTGTTGGGTACCTGCTTCGGCCTTTCTACCGCCTCCTTGCCCACCTGGAGGAGCTTTTCCTTTCTCTCCAGTTAAAACCTTTAGAAGCTGCACGGTGCCGAGCTCTTGTCCTCTCCCTGGCTTCTTCCTGGCTGCCCTGACTCAGGCCTTTGCTTCCTCTGCCCAGCCCTGCAGCCCACCTCACCCACAAGCCCAGCCTGCACCCCCCAGCGGAGGAAAACTTGATAGCCTGGAGTATAGCCCACTTGGCCACAGAGCTATGGGGTGCTGGCCCTGAGGTGTCCTGCCCAGTTTCTGGAGAGGAGGTGTCTATGCGGACTGCAGAGTCCTCTGGCTGTAGCCAGAGCATTCTTCCCTACCTCTGTGGAGCCAGGAGATCACAGTGATCTTTGGAGACTTGAGGTACAGAAGTTTCAGGTGACTCAGCTGGCTGGAGTAAAATTCAGAGACGAAGCTGTGTGCCCACTTGGGTTCAGGCTTACCACAAGTCCCATTCCTGACCACTGCCCGCCGCCCTGTGTAAACCACAGGGGTGCGCGTGTGACAGTGCTTGCCGTCTGCTTGTGCGTGCTCTTTAGCAGTGCTTTGAGATTTACAAATCGTGCAAGCAACATTCTCACTGGCTATTAGTGGCTGGCTTTGATTTACGGTGGCATTTGGGTTTAGAGTGTACACAGTGACATCTCTTAGTCTGAAAAGGTCTTTCTGTGGCCCTTTCAGGAATTCCGATTTTTGGTCACGCAGAATGTTAGCAGCATAAGGGTTCTTTTCAGTGTGTCCGCCAGCTCAGCCTTGCAGCATGGAAGCCTGGGTGGGGCTTACATGAAACACGGAGGAGCCAGACCTTTCTGGGTCTGGAGGAAGCTGGCTGGGTGCAGGTCCCCCGACCCATCCCTTTCCCTCAGGGTGGCTTGTCAGCTCTAGCCACTGTGCTCCCGCAGTCCCCCACCCCTAAGACTCTGTCCCTCCCTCCTTTTCACAGGGCTGCCTGCAGCCACCATGTCCCTGGCCACCCTGGCTCCTGGACCCTCCCCTCTGGACCTTCTCTGTAGGTCCAGGTGCCCTACCACCCCCTGGAGGCTCCTGGCTCTGGAGGCAGTGTCCCCAGGGAACCCTGCCCCACGTCTCTGTAGCTCAGCGAATAGCGCCACCCCCCACGCCCTCCCCTTGGCAGGGCCTGTGCATCCCCTCCCTGTGGGCTCCATCCCCCCAGGGCCACCACCCAGCTTAGAGCCTGTGAGGGGCAAGAGGGAGACAGGCGGCTGCGGCTTCTGCTGGTCCCAGGGATGGCCGAGCTGGGGTAGGAGCCTTCCAGGGCTTTGCCCTGACTCTGGCCTGCCTTTCCTGAGAGCCGGCAGACATCTGGCTGGGATGAGGGAGAATTCACTTAGGAAATGCTCCCCAGGTCAGGGGATCCTGACAGGGGACACAGAGAGCTTTAAAAACTTGAGATAAAATTCATGAATCACAGAACTGTCTAATAAATTGATTAATGGGAAATAAATATTTAAGGAACATTCCTAATCTCTGAGTGGGCAGCAATCCTGCTTTGAATAAAGCTCCAGCATTCTCACGTCCCTCCCTTCTTAGGCTTTAGCGAGTTGCAGATGGAGCGGCCCTGCACCCCTGGGCCCATTGCACCCTCAAGGACCACCAGCCCCTCAGGAGAGGCAGGGGTCCCCACCCGCCTGACACTGAGGCCCTGCTTCCAGAACAGAGCTTTTCCACTCAAAGCCTCAGTTTTATTTTAGACTGAGCTGCTTGGTTAAAATAAAGTGAAACCACAATTCCTGCAGAAGGCAGGAATAATAAAACCGTACCCTGTAAGTCAGAACGGAAGGGGAGAACTAGAAGTTTCCGTTGATGAATTCTTCAAACAACAGAATTCAGACACTGAATGGACTGCTTGCCTTCCTTGCTCCCTAGCAAGCACGGAGCCCCTGGCATTACCAGCTGACGTCCGTGCCCTGCAGACTGGGGGCTGGGGTGACCAGGGCACGTGGCGATGGGCGCTGGGCCCTGGTGGCAGAGCTGCAGGCGGCGTGCCTGGCATTTTTGGGTTGAGTGCCAAGCACGTGTTTTTGTGGGCTTGAAATTTGCCTGGGAGCCAGTTAGGAAGGTAGGCCCTTCCCTGCAGCGCGTGTGCAGAGGGAGGGTGCGGGCCGGGCCTGCACAAGGACTCGAGCCTGGCTGACCCTCTTCAGTGCCTAGCTCTGTGCCGCTGGTCTTTCCAAACTCACTCACTCTTTGTGGCCAGTGGAGGCCGAGGACTGGCCCGCTCCCCGTCACAGGCTGGAGCAGGGACCCAGAGAGGCTGGGTTGGGGTGGCTGTGGGGCTGGGCCCATGCAGACACAGGCTGGACGATGGGTTGTCCCCATTGGTCTGTCTCCTGGTGCCCAGCCAGGGGTGTGGCTTTACGTGTCTGCTGCAAAGCTGGCCCCTCCCTCAGCCTCCTGGCGCCCTGGGAAGCAGGACTGTGGCCCAGGACCCGCTGGCCACTCAAACAGGACCATGGATGAAAGGTGTCATTCTTTGAGACAGCCCCACCCTTTGACTCAGCCATGTGAGAGTCACATTCCAGTGTAAGTTTTGGAGGGGACACACCGTAGCCAAACCACTGCAGTCAGATGTCACAAAACATTCTCTTAATTTTTTTTCAACCATTTAAAAATGTGAAAAGGCTTTCACAGTCATCCAGGATCGCGTGAGGTGCGGTCTTGGCTCGTGTGTATACAGACGAGGCAGCAGACTCGGCCGGGGAGCCCTGTCTGTCTGCCCACGCGGCTTAGGTCAGGAGGAGTGCACTTGAGGCAGCGTGAGCATCTTTGAAGAGCTGTGTGTGCTCCGTAACGGGACACGCAAGCATTGTTCAAAAGGGGCTTCAGAGGTTCTCGTGGCTCAGTCCAGGCACAGCAGGCCCTGGGTTTGCAAGGCCTGTGCCAGCTGTAGCCTCCTCTGTAGACCAGGGCGGGCTCTGCCAGGGGCTTGCTGCATGGGCACTGCCATCCTGCATGTGACTGCTGGGGCCCTCTTGTGAGAGACCCCATGGGTCCCTGCAGCTGGGCCTATGACTGGCTTGTCTCTGAGAGAGGCCTGGTCCTGCCTGCCCAGCCACCTGCCCTGTTCTGAGTCACAGGTGGCCTCAAGGGAAGTGGCCTGGCACACGGGTGTTCGTGGAGGAACACGCTTGCGGCTCATCCAGAGACCCACTGTGCGCCTCCCCTGCGCACTTCCCAGGGTGGGCCAGCTGGTGGAAGGGACTGGCGAGGGTGGAGACTGCCTGACCTGCTGCTGGGCGCCCTCTCGCCCAGCTGCCTCTCCCACCCGCCCCGCTCCTTCTGACCTTTGCAGTCAGAACTCTTCCTGACAGCTGCTGCCGTGTGAGGTCTCGAGGGTTTGTTTCTAAGCTCATGCTGGCATTCTGTCTCTTCTCCAACACTTGCCTGAGCTGAAGACATGGACTCTTCCTGGTTCACAGGGCGTGATCAGGAGCTAGCTTTGGCTCACTCCGAAAGCCCTGCTTGTCTTCTGCGTAATGGTTTCAGACTAACACTGTTTGGCGCGTGGGTGTCACACACGGACACACTTGCACTGGAACCGAAGCAGAGGTCATTCTGACCTGGGCGGCGGGAGGCATGGAGCCGAGTCCTCGCTGGGCCAGACAGTGAGAAAGAAGCTTACTTGTCCAGACCCCAGAATGTTGGGCTCCAGGGACCGAGAAAGTGAGGCCTCGCTCCGTACCCTTCGAAGAGTGGCATGTGGACACATGGACAGGCACCTCAGCCGGGGAGCTGTGTGCTTCCACCCCTCACCGCCACGGCCGACCTGGTCCGCACCTGTTACTTCCCTCCACTGTTTCCCTTTTGCCCTTCCTCCCCGTGCATTCCTTTTTGTAGTTATTTATGGCCTTTCGCCATCTCAGGACCATAATGAGGAAAACTTGTTTGGCAGTTATGTCTAACCCCAGAACCTTAGCTCTGACGTGTGTCTTTTTACAGCCTGTGTGTCCCTGTCCACTGTGACGCAGCTAATTCTGTGAAAATGGGCTTATTAGAGTGCTTAATGAAACACGGAGCAACAAAGTATTTCCTCTCGTACACAGGCTCACCGTGGGGCTGCTCAGGAGAGCGGGCATCTGCTGGCCCTGCAGCCCTTGCTGTGCTGACCAAGCTGCATTGTCCTTCCAGGTGCTACAGGGAGCCCAGCTAATCGCTGTGGCCTCCTCGGATCCTGCCGCAGCTGGCGTGGATGGGTCATCTCTCCAGGGCAGTGACATCCAGGTGCAGTATGTCCAGCTGGCGCCTGTGAGCGAGCACACAGCCACAGCACAGGTGAGTCCTCGGCCTCCTCGGCAGGCCGCCCTGCTCCTCCGTGCTCTCTGCTGTGGGGTTTCCGCTGCGGCTTCCTCCTGGGGGAGATCAGAAGGCAGGAGCACGTTTGGGGATTCTGTCCTTACAAGCCCTGAAAATGCGAAGGTGGGGAGGCGGACCCAGGCCTGGCCTCGAAGCAGGGGCGGGTGTTGACAGGGATGTGCTTCATCAGTGATGATGCAGGAGGCCCGGGACAGCTGGTCACACCACCTGGGCAGGCCCCTCGCCTTCCGCCCCCACCTCCAGCCAGCGGGTGGCAGCCTACTCGGGAGCTCCATGCGCTCGCCCTTTCCCGTGTGGCAGGAGCCTGCTCCGCACAGCCAGCCAAGAGTGATAGTGCTGGCTGCTCGCTCACCTCTGGCCTGGCTGCCGTAGGTGGAGGATGCTCGCTGCACTGCCACGGCAGGGTCGGGGAGGGGGTTGCTGTGGCCCCTGCTTGGTGCACCTTGGTTCTGGGACACCAGGCAGCTGGTGTCAGGCTCTGCCAGCCGTGTGTGTTTGGAATGGCTAATTCTAGACTTAAGGTGCTTCCTGTTGCTGCGGGAGTGGCTACCAAGTCCATCCTGGGAGGGCCAGGCGCTGTTTCCTGTGCCTGGAGCCACACAGGGAAGCCTGGCAGGGAGGCTGCGCACGGCAACTTCTTGTGTGGGCCATAGGCACAGGAATCGCCCCGCCCCCAGGAGCACGCCCAGCTCAGGCTGTGCCCTGCTCCACCTGCAGCTCACCCTGGCACACTGGCTGCCTCCCGTGTCTGCTCCTAGCCTCTCTGCGGCCCGTGCTGAGCACCTACATATATCTCACTGCCATCGGCAGAAGCCCCAGACTTGCCGCTGAGGCCTCAGCTCCTGAGCCCGGAGCACAGCAGGTCCTCCTCGGGATGCTGCTGAGGAAGTGGCCTGGGTCCCAAGTGGCCAGAATGGTTGAGCTGTGGTGTGTGGTGGCTCAGTGCTTGAGCTCTCTCCTGTCCTGGCAGTGCCCTCCCTCTGTAAGGAAGCAGTGTGTGGGTGTCCTTCATAAAGACAAAAGCGCAGCTTAGAGTGCTTCAAGGACTGTCAGGCCTCACATCCCCAAGGACTTCTGCTTTGGCAGCACCTTAGCTTCTTTTGCCTTCTCCTGTGTGGACACCGTGCCTGAGTCCTGCAGCCATTCCTGGGTGTGCATAGGCGCCCCAGTGCGGCTGAACCCTGGGAGGAGGATCAGTGACTTATTCTAAGATCCTCACTCTTCTCTGGTCCTAAAAGAAAGCTGTGAGCACAGCTTTCATGTGCCTCCAATGTCTGCAAGTTGCGGGCCAGGCTTAGGTCTGCAAGAGGGAGCAGGGGGAGCTGGCCCTGAAATGCTTCTCTGGGACACTGAGGCAGTGTTACAGGTGGCAGCTTGACACCGAGCGCCTGGGTCAGAATAGTGGTTGAGCTCGTGAGGTCAGCCAGTCCTGCTTCCTCCAGCAATGATGTAAAAGTCGGTAGCAGTGGCCACAGTGACCCTGCTGAGGGGTAGGAAATAGCTGGCCAGGACTGAACGCTGCCCTGAGCACCATGGCAGGCAGGGGGAGCTTCCTCCCAATCCCAGAGCTCCTCAGAGCTGCCTGTGTGTGTGTGCGTGTGTGCACGCTTCACTCGGCTACTCAGAGCAGGTGGTGGCCCGGAGGTGCGCTGGTGGGCTTTCTCCAGAAGGGCCCTCCTGTCTCCCCCCTTGCAGACGGCTGAGACCCTGCAGCCCACCCTGCAGCCTGAGATGCAGCTGGAGCATGGGGCCATCCAGATCCAGTGAGGCAGGGCAGCCACCACCACCAGGACTGTACCACGCCAGCGGCCCAGCTGACGACCTGGTCTCCACACCCTGCTCTTGAAGTTGGCTGGGGGTGACCGCGTGAATTCTGCTGCCGTGCGTGTGAAAGCCGCCTCCGCCAGGGGGACCGTGTCCCAGTCTCCCCATGCAGGGAGGGCCCTCGGTTTGAGCCACACTGACAGTGTCTACAGGGGAAGCAGCACGGAGCGTGTAAAGTACACTTGGAAAATCAAGAACTACAATATTTTGTTTAAACAGCTTTTTTTAATTTGCTATGGTGTTTATAACAAAAAAGAAAATTGAAAAAAAACTGGAGTAGCAGAAGCCTTTTGCTGTTGTGCTCTGTTCAGTGTCATGAAAACAGGTGTTTGCAAAAGAAAGCTAATGATTTTGACGGAAATATTGCTTACCTACTTTTCTAGGGGGACATGCCCCCACACACTGTAATTATGCATTTCTAATGAAATAAACTGTATTTATGACCACAGAAGCCTCTGTGCTATTTCGTCTTGAGAGGTTTTGTCTGGGGGCCCCCTTGCTCCTGGGGTGGGGTGTCTGGGGAATCACTGCTTAGGCTGCCTGTCACAGAGGCAGGAGTTGCAGGCACCCCAGGGACAGTAGAGCCCACTGCCAGGTTGAGGGAGCTCTCAGAAGCAAAGGTGAATTCATCTAGTGCCAGGAGGGGCAGCGCGGGATCCTCACAGGAAAGTCTTTTCCAAAGAGGCCTTGGCATCACAGCATTCTGCAAGGCAGGGAGGACAGTTCCGCACAGCAAGAGATGGTTCGAAGTACACATGGCCGTTGGCACCTGGTCTGCTTCTGCCCACACTGTTTGGCGGTCACGTTAGCGGGGTTTGTGAAATAACAGTGAAGTTGTCTTCACAGACAGCAGAGGTGCGCGATGCTTTTTCTGGGGTGAGTTCAGAGTAGCTTCTAGAATCACTATGCCTCTACCTTGCTCTACCCTTTGGAGTACTCACTTGAAAAGGTGAATGTTTCATATAGAAATGATATCTCAGAGTTCTTAAAAACAAAGAATTGAATGAAGCTTCCAAAAATAAAAATTAAGCTGTCACTTGCTGAAGGTGTTTCCTGTTAGGGGCAGTAGGGATTTGCGCAAGAATATGGATCCAGAGTCCTTAAGGCAAGAAGGAGTCATCAAACAGTAGAAATGGAGACAGACCAAGTAGCCTGTGTAAAATTGACTCATACTGGAATTAAAACAGTAAAATAGTGGAAAACATTGCTGTTTAACTTGGAACAACCCAGAAGAGAGGAAGATGGTTGTAAAGTTCTCTATTGCCCTGGAGGAAAAGGCTCACAGCACTATATGTTAAGACTTCAAGTTCAGTATCTGTGACAGACATTTGGAAACACAGTGTGTAAAACCTGCGAGGATGTAGAGTACTTGAGCAAGGCAGTTAGCACCCCTGGTCTCTCTGCGGCGGAGCAGCCTGTGCTGCACGTGCTCCTCCAGGGCTCTTCGGGGTTTTATCAAGATTGGCCGCAGGCCAGCCACAGAGCCTAAGTCCTCCGCCTAAACGGGATTAAGGAAAAATTGACGAGAGTAGATGATCACTGAGTGTTTAGAAACTAAATTACACACTTTTAATGCATACACCAAATAAGAAAAGTGACACCTGAAAGTATTTTTAATTGAGTGACAAATTTACATATCAAAAATTGTGGACTACATCCAAAGTGCTTAGAGAAAAACGTAAACGCAAGTAGAAATTAACGAAACAGAACAAAATGTAGAGTAAATGTAACCAGCAGAATCTGTCTTAGATGCTTCTCTAGTTGCTGAGACAAACACTCAACATCCACATGTGCAAAGAGGAGGGGTTTTCCCACAGTTCATAGTGTCAAAGGCAGAGGGGCATGGCAGAGGAGAAACAGTCCAGGGCAGTGCAGGCTGCAGGCAGCCTGCCTTCCCTCTTTCTCTTTATAGCCCATCCAGGCTGTAAGCCTGCTGATTGTGCCACCCACACCCAGGGTGGGCTTCCATTATCCACACTCTTAATCCCAGCGTCACACCCTTAAACCACATTGGCACACCCTTATCCGGCCACTTTCCAAACTCCCCACCTACGAGCACAAGAGATTGTGCAGGGACATCTAGCAGAACCTAAGCTGGTTTTTGAGAAAATTAACACATTTGACAAAGCCATGGTACAACCAGCCGGGGAAGGGAGCAGGCACAGTGCAGTAGGAGAATCACTGCGAACTCAGGCAGCTGGAGCTGAGGCCGTGCCCACGTTACCTCCCTCAGCTGGAGCGGGTGAGGAGGAAAACACTGCTCCCCACAGCTGACTAGGGGAAGAAAGAGAACATTTTAGGACACTTATCTTTATGGAATCTTATCTGTAACTTAAAGTCTTGTCACAAAAGAGCCAACCCCTCCCTGCTAATTGTTTCCAAATGTGTAGGAAAGGACAGCGAGCATCTCCCCCTAACTCCTGCAGGACACAGCTCACTGCCCACCGTGCTCTGTGAGGCAGCATAACCTTTCCACCGCAGCCTGACAGGACGTTCCCAAGAGAGGTGGCAGGGAGAAAAGCGAAGGACAGGCCAGTGTATCCCGTGGACCTTCTAAGCAGTGACGATAGGTCAGCGGTGGCAAGCCTGGGGCGCGTGTGCCAGAGCGGGCACACAGCCCACTGTCAGCACACAAGCCAAGTCATTTCCGCCAGCAAAGTCACGCCCGCATCACCCCAGCAGCCGAGTGTTCAGGTCTGGTTGCAGTGTTGGCTCTTTGTGATGAAGGGTTTGGGTTGCAGTGTGGGCACTCAGTCTCTAAAAGGTTTGCCGTCACTGTAGTAAGTGATGATATAACCAGGTCAGGTTGGATCCAGGAATGCAAGGTTGGTGTAACACCGGAGAAATGAATCAGCGAACCTCACCACTTTAACAAAACCATGTGGTTCTCTTAATGTGAAATGTGAAAAATAATTTGTAAAAGTCAGCATCCATTCAGGATTAAGAGACCCTTTAGCAAGCTAGGAATAGAAAAAGACCTTCGCGCAGACTGACAGTGTCTGCAGTACCCTGGCTTCCTTTGCTGTCCCGAGAAGTGGCAAGTGGGAAGGCCCAGCAGCACCTAGCCAGCAGGCTGCATCCAGGCAAGGAGATGGGAGAGATGGCCTGCACGTGTAGGTGTGGCTGGTGTCCTGGAAGGAAGCCCACTGCAGCCCCGCAACACTGAGTACACTTGAAAAGGTGCTGGCCACCGCCCCATAACCAAAACTGCCATTTTTAATGCCGTTTATTACAGACTAAGAAGCTTGAAGATGTAGAAATAAACCTATAAAAGCTGTCTGGGAGAGATGTTGAGAACAAAGAAAATCTAAGAAAACGGAGGGATGTGGTCTGTTCGGGAGCTGGGAGTCCCAGTTCCTCCTCTGATGGCGGGTTCGGTGCTGTCTCGTGAGATCGGCGGCGCTGTTGTGCGGTGCCCTGGCTTCTCAGGAGCACGTGCACCGAAGAGCAAGGATGCGGAGGCGCCTGAGCCGCTCGGAGCTTTCCTGCCTCTGGAGGGCGGGCGCTGTGCCGTGAGGACAGCCGCGGAGCAGGATGAGAGCCAAGCCAGCTACCGAAAAGGCATCTGGGTCGAGGGACAGGGACTCCGCAAGTCCTGGGAAGGCCCCTGGACTCCCAGGCGCTGCAGCTCTTGCATTTCACAAGTTTACAGAAACATGTCATGGAGTTGAATCTGGCAGCCATAAAGCACAACAGGTAGGCTGCACAGAGGGAACTCTGACCTCAGGATGAGCAACGGTGCCGTCAGCAGGACGCAGGTGTTGACACTCAAGGCGTTCATGCCGAGGTGAAGACTGGGTTTCCTTTCCTCCAAAGACACCGTCAGAAGAGACAAGAACACCAGGCACCGAGAAGGCTTGGTCGGTGCCTCGTGCTCAGGGAGAAGGGAGTCTCGGGGCTGTGAAGAGGACCGGCGGGCAGCAGGGCCCCCCACCCCCGGGAGCTGCCACGGAGGGAGCCAGGTGAAGGAGGCTCGAGAAGAAACCAACTGGGATGCCCACCGTTTTGAGGTGTCACTCAACCAACAGTATGGGGATTTTGGTCCCTGCACACCAGAAACAAGAAAAGCTGGTGTGGTGTCCCCTAAGGGGCACCAGTACCAAGGCCTGGCCGCCCCGTGGCTGGTCCCCTGGCACCTGGCAGGTGAGGATGGGAGGTGGCAGGCATGGCCTCACAGCTCGAGGTCACCTCAGACCAGGTGAGCCTCTGGTGCCACCTCATAGTTGGCAGAAGCCTAGCCAGCATCCGAAAGTCTGCAGAGGAAGAGGGCATGGCTGGGGGACCATGCTGCGTCGGGACCTGGGGCGTTCTGGCTTCAGGAAGGTGCACGGGGATGTGCGCTTCTGCCTGTCATCCTGCGGAGTTAAGAATGTTACAGCCGCCCCCCCACACGCACACAGGGCAGGAGCTGGCCACTGGCAGCACTGCTGAAAGGCTGCCAAAAAGTAGCAAGCGACGGGAGACGGGAGCGGAGTGAAGCCAGGCAAGGAGAGCGTGCCAGTGCGTCAGGGCTGGCAGCCCAGCAGGCGGCAGCTGGGTGCCTGCTCAGCAGCCTTGCAGCCCAGGGATGAGGAGGGGAAGGCAGGCTCTGCAGCCCCTTTGCTGTGGCTGGGTCCTGGAAGGACCACACCCTGGATGCCTTGGGGCTGCCCCGAGGAAGAAAGCACTAACCCTTGCCGGAGGGAGACAGTATCAGATGACACCCGTGAGCAGTTGTGCAAGTACAGTGTCGAGCAAGCAGAGCCAACCCTGCAAGTGAGGGAACAGCACAGAAGGCCGCAGCCGCAGTAGCCAGCAGAGCAGTGCCCCAGGCAGCAGATGCAGAGTTAGCCCACAGCGGCTTCAGCAAGGGACCAGACAGGTTCAGCAGCGAGCTGGGGACGCCTGAATAGCACACCACGGTGATTCCACAGCTAAGAAGCGGGAACTCGGAACTAAGAGCCAGTTCTGGGTCCACTAGCAGACTGCCCGTGTCTGAGCAGTGCCGGAGAGGAACCAGCTCAGCGGGAAATGCCAGGGGTAAAGTGTGCCACCCCCACCACTCAAAGAAGAAATTGTCCCTTTCATCCACAAACTGCCAGGAAATGAGGGACAGGACACCTCCACCTGCTCTTAGGGATTGGCACATCGTTGGGCACAAAGCCTGAGCTCAGTAGAGAGAGAAAATCTCAGCGATCTTGCAGGAAGTTCAGACTGGAGCAGTCTCACATCAAATCCTGCAGCACACAGACCACCTCACGGGCTCACAGGCTGGTTTGGGTGGGAGAAATGCAGGGGCGTTCTGTTTATTTTGCAGCCAGCAATCTTTCTGAGCATCACAAGTAATTACAATAAATTAATTAGTGCAATCATCTGATTTGTGGGATCTTCATCACACTCACCTTGGTGTGACCTGCAGGCACCTTTGAGAGTGACTCAGCACGTTGACAGGTCGGTGTGTCATTGGCACAG